ACAGGATGGGCGGAGGTTTGGCTAAGGCATGGGATGAGGGAAAGCAAGAGGTCCTGAGAACCTGAAAGCTTATGGACAAACAAGCTGCCGTGCAACCTTTCACTCCCTGTACACTTTCGCAGCTCCTGCCCTCAAGAGGGGGTTTATTTCCCCTCCCCCTGGAGTCTGAGCCAGCCCTGTGACTCCCTCTGACCAACAGAGTGCAGCAGAAGTGACACCTCAAGGAGGCCTGTCTGCTTCTGCTTTCCCTGTTTTGGAATCCAGCTGCCCTGCTCTAAGGAAGCCTGGACTATTTTGCTTCAGAGAGATCACATGCCAGTGACCACCAGGTGGGGCAGAGGAACCAGCCCCAAACTCAGCAAATGGTGAGAAATAACAAGTTGTTTTAAGCCACTAGTTTTGGGGGCTGTTTGTTACACAGCAATGGAAGACTGACAAGGGACATCGTTCTCTGTCATGTGTGAGAATAGGAAGGGCAAACAGTAGTAACAGATGTGTACTCACTGCTTTCTAGATGCCAGCTTGTGCCGACAGCCGTGGCACATAATCTCATTCCACTTGCACCATAGACCTCCTCCCCAATTTTCAGAGGCTCAGAGAGTGAGAGTCGCTTGTCTAAAGACACACAGTAAATGAGGATAGAGACAAAATTGGAGTTAGGTCGGTCTGACTCCAAATCCTGCACTCCTCCACCATGGCTCCATGCTGAAGGCCAGCCTGGGGAAAGGGCACAGACCCAGTGCCTGCTTCTGGGTTTACCCAGGACCGGGCCCACTGAGGAGCTGAGCTGGGGTGAGCTTGCCTGGGCCTCTGTGTACTACAGAGCCAGCGAGAGTATGCGTGCCCATGTTGTGGACAATACTCAGTCTGGGAGTGGCTGGAGGGAGGCTGGCCTTGAAGCCAGGTTTCAGGAGAGACCCCTGGAGTCACCCCTGGGCCCTGTGCCTGGGCCGGCTCTTTAATGGCTGGCCCTGGAGTCTGGATGACCAAAAAACCTCTATTAACCACAGTGATATGACAAGTATCTGGCAACCAAGAAGGGACAGGTGAATGTCCTAGAGCCTCCTTTTACCGATCTGTAAAATGGGGATAATAATAGACCTTAACTCACAAAATCCGGGCAAAGAGGCTGTGATAGACAGAAAGTGGGTGTTGGTACCCCAAGCCCTCTGCAGGTGTGTGTTCCCACTCCCAGCCTTTCTCTTCTTCAATTCTGCCACCAGCTCCGTGTGTGAACTCAGGTTTATCACTAAGCCTGTCTGTGTTTTAGTTTCCCCATCTGAAAGTGCTCCGTAAATGGAACTCTCCCCATTAAATGGATGAAAGAAGCTCAGCAAAGCCTTAGATTTTCCAGGCGATGGAGTGATTTATGGAAGCTCTTTTGGCTTCCCCGTGAGGCTGGGACTGGACACGCCACCAGCAGAGGTCAGATTCCTTCTCTGAGTCTCAAATTCTCTCTGCTTTAAATTTTTTTTTTTTAAGATTTTATTTATTTGACAGACAGAGATCACAAGTAGGCAGAGAGGCAGGCAGAGAGAGAGGAGGAAGCAGGCTCCCCACTGAGCAGAGAGCCCGATGTGGGGCTCGATCCCAGGACCCTGGGATCATGACCTGAGCCGAAGGCAGAGGCTTTAACCCACTGAGCCACCCAGGCGCCCCATCTCTGCCTTAAATTTTGTCTTCTTTCTTTCAATAACCTCTCATTAAATACCTACTGTGTGCCACAGATTGTGTGCTGGGTGCTGGAGAATTCAAATGGAATAATTAGTGACTGTTTGGATGAACTTCTAGTCTTGTAGGATGTATGTAAATGACAACCACAGGCACGATGGGGACTATCATTGAAGAAATGTCACAGTGTGGTGGGGGTTAGAGAAGAAGAAGCCAGAGCACAGGGAAGAGAAAGAAGAGGGAGAGCATAAAAGGAGATAGCTTTCCGGATGAGTTCAAAAACAACCACCACCACCACCACCACAATAGACCACAATGACAGGGTTTCGTAGATTCCACAAGAAATTCATGTGAAGGAGAGCCACATCTAGCCATACTGAGGTTCAACAAAGAAAATCATGGATAAAGAAATACATATGTAAGTATTATGCAAAAATATTAAACGGCAATATAATAAAACTCAGTGATCACATTTTGGGAAGAATTAAATTATAAATATGTAAAATCTGCATTAGGTCTCTAGGGATGGATGAAATTCCCCTTCTGCTCAGTTTTTGGGGGTCTGAAGAGTTTTCTCCACCCACACGCAAAGTTCCAAGTTTCCTGAGATTTAAAAGGAAAAAAACAAAACACAAATGAGTTAAACTGTTGCTCATTGATTCACGCCAACTTTCCCCAGCTTTGTGCTGCTTGGTTCACTCCTTCCCTCTTCTCAGTAGTCCCACTCTGGACAGTTGCTTTTTACAGTAACGTTGATGCCATGAGAAATGTCCCCTTGAATGTCCCCTTTGACTTTGCAGGCAGTCTCTTGGGGCTAAGTGACCCCCGGAGCCTTGATCCAACCCTCATGCTCCACTCCCTCTTTCTTTCTTCCTCTCTCTGGTCTCTCTGAGTCCTTAGTTCTGAGAAAGCTTGGACAGGCGGCTTCAGAGTCCTGGAGAAACCTCAGGTGCCAGCCCTGGCTGATGGCCTCCATCCATAGCCAGCCACCATACTTGCTGGGGCATCTTGGCTTTGCTTTCCCTTAGGAAAGGCTCAAACTTCAAAGAAAGGCACTGCTGAATTCCAACCCTTGCCCTACCATGAAAGCCAAATTTATGCCTTATCTGAGGTCACTTACCTTCTGACCTCAGTGTTCTTATCCAGAAAGCGGGAACAATAGTAACTGTCTCCCAAGTATTAAGAAGTTATCTCTTGTAAAGTGCTTAACATCATGGCTGGCCCAGAAAAGATGCTCAGTAAACCGCACCTAGCATTGTTGGTGTTGTCACTCCAGGGAAGTGCAGAAAGAGGAGTGTTTCCAGAACCCTCAAAGGGATTTGGATGCCGCCAGATCCTTGGGTTTTGCAAGAGTGAAGCATCCGGGGCCAGTGAACTCCCCAGAACCTAGCAGCCCTCCTGTCCCCAGAGGGCGTCACTCCCCTTCCAGACCTGCCAGGGGAGCAGAGTGCTTGTTGACTTGACTTTTATCCCCTTTGTGGTCATTAATATATCCTTTAATTATATCCTTAATATAGCCTCTGTCTTCCCAGAGCACTCAAGACTCAAGCTTTTCATCTTCTCTTCTCTCTTTTTGGGTAATTAAAAAAAGATACCCCCCAATTCTTCCAGAGTCTACAGCCTAAAAGCCACTCATTTCTCCTTTCAACAAACCAACCAATATTTACAGAGCACCTACTGTGTGCGGGAGCTGTGCTCTGCTATAACCCTAACCTTATTAGTTAGGCTGAAGGGGGTCGATCTTCCTCCCAGGTCTTGCTTTGTGGCCTTGGGCAAGTTACTTACCTCTCAGAATCTCCATTTCTCACCCGTGAACTGGAAAAATAACATCTGCCCCAGGGCTGGGTTAAATGAGACAAACCACTCCAAACCAAGGCACACAAGAGTTTGGCCTGTGGCTGTTGTTTAAAGTGTAGGTGAACAGGTGTCAGAGATAGGGCGGATGATTTGGATTCCAGGTCCCAGCTACATTTCGTTTTTCGCTTTTGCAAATCGTTTGTTTTTCTAATTGCCAATTTTTCGGAAAATAAAAAGCGAGAATTCTTGGTGGCTCTCCAGACTTCAGACTTCAGACTGCAGACGTAACCAAGAGCGCTGAGTGCATTCTCCCAGACCTTTTGTTTTGCATTCACACAAATACACAAACGCCGAAGATGATTGGTTTATTATTTTTCATTTTACAAAAACGGATACAGTATCTATATTGTGCAACAACGTTGCTTTCGAGTTAACAATGTATTGTTTCTGTTTCCTCTCGGTGTATACATCACATAACAAAATCTGGGCTCACTGTCTGTTAGGAAGCGCGGCAGTTCTGAAAGGGGAGGGGGCGGGGATCCGGGCTCGCGCCCCCTCCCTTCTCAACCCTCCTTCCGTCTGGGCCTCACCGCCCCAGGCCCCCTCTAGCCCAGCCCCCCTTCTTCCGGACCACTCATTCCGGACCCCCTAAACCCCCCACCCCCGTTTCGCCCCAACCCCCTCTCCTGGGCCTCCTCCTTTTTCCCTTTCCAGGGATCCCCTTCCCCTCCCCTTCCTGGGCTCCTTCTCCGGGCCCTAGTCCCAAGTTCCACCCGCTTCCCAGACCCCCTTCTCCCGGCTCCCTCCCCTAGTCTCCCCAGCCCCAATTCGGCCTTTACCCATCCCCCTCAGGCCCCTTCCCCTACCGGGTACGCCAGTCCCCCTTCTCTCGAACCTTTTCCCTTGCATCTCCCTGGGACCTCAGCCCCCTTTCTCCTGTGCCTCTCCCCACCCTCTCGTCTCCCCTGGACCCCATCCCCCACTTCTCCCGTGCCCGGCCCCGCCCCTCCCGGGATCCCAGCCCCTCCTTCTCCTGTGCCCCTCCCCCCACGTCTCCCCAGGACCCCAGCCCCCACTTCTCCCGTGCCTCCCTCCACCCACGCGCTGTCCGGCCCCGCCCCTCCCGGGCCGGGACCCCGCACCCCCCACCGCTCCTTCTCCCGTGCCCTTCCCCCCAGCCTCCCCGGGATCCCTCCCCCTTCCCCCCCCCCCCCCCCCCGGTCCGCTGCCCGGCCCCTCCCCTCCCGGGGCCCCTATGCCCCCTCAGGCCGGGCGGCGCGGCAGGGGGCGCTGCGCGGTCCGAGGCGCGGCGGCGGGCGGCGGCGGGAGGCGGAGGCCGGAGGAGGCGGGGGCGGCGGCAGGCGGGGGGCGGGGAGCCGAGCGCGAGAGGGAGGCGAGCGGCGAGACACAGGCTCCGAGGCTCCAGCGAGCGAGCGAGCGACGAGCGAGCCCGGGAGGGAGGGAGGGAGCGAGGGAGCGAGCGAGCGAGCAGCCGCGCCGCCGCCTCGCAATCCGCCGCCATCCCGCCGCCTCCGCGCCCGACCGCCGCCCGACCGCCATCACCCGGCCCAGTCGCGCCCGCGGAACCAGACCAGGTGGGCCGGGGCGGCGCGGGGCGGCGCGGGGCGGGCCGGGCCGGGGCCGGGGCGGCGGTCGGGCGCTAAGATGGAGGCGGCGCGGCGGCGCGGCCCGGCCGGGCTTTGTCTCGGCGGCGGCTGACTGACAGCGGCGAGCCCGGGCCCGGCCGCCCTCCGTCCGCGAGCGCCGCGCCGCCGCCGGGGGCCCGCCGGCCGGGGTGATGGCCGGGGCCGCGGGGCCGGGCGGGGGACGGCCTGGGAGGGGGAGGCGGCGGCGGGCTGGCCGGGCCCGGGCTCGCCATTGTTGTGCGGCGCCGCGCGGCCTGGGCGGGCGGCGGGGCCGGGGCTGCGGGGGCCGCCGCGTCCCGGGGGCCGCCTCCCGAGCGTCCAGGCCGGCGGTCCCGAGCGCCCCGCTGCTCTGGAAGTGGTCGGGGCGGCCTCCCCGCGCCCCCCGCCCCCTCTCCTCTCCCGGGCCGACCTGCCCGGGCACCACCCCGAGCGGGAATCCCGGGGTCGGGGCGTCCCCCACGGCCGCAGGGCTGGGGGGTGGCGGGGGGCGCGGCGGTCCCCCCCCCCCCGGCCTCGCGGACTCGGCGTTCGGGGGCAGGGGGCTCGGAGCCGCCGACGGCCGCGGTTTCCGTGCGCGAGCGGCAGGATTATTTTCGAAATACTTAATGTTCTGTTGCTGAGAATGTTTAATAATAAACAGGATGTCGCTGCTCGGGGCCTGCCAGATGGGGTTTTGTTGTTTTTGTTTTTTTGTTTTTTTTTTTCCTCCTTCCCTTCTTTTTTCGTTTTGTCCCTTCTCCTAAGTCAGAAACAGCACTATTGAAATCGTGGGCCTCTGGAGTGAATTTGCCTATACAGAATTGGAAGGTGGCTTTCTCTTTTCTCCTTCGCTTTCTAAATATCGTGGGAGGTCCGAGCCCACCTTTAGGCAAGAAGAGGAGGTGTTTTTCCAGGGGATGGTTAGCTTGGAGGAAGTGGGGAGAACGGGGGCTGGGGAGGCTCTCAAGACTGTGTCGTTTGCTACATGGCTGCCAGGGAGAAACCTTCAGAAGCCTTTGGTTTCCAGGATTGTTAAATTAGCCCTGAGATCCGCCCCCCCTTCTTAAGATCGTGTGTGCATTTTATGTGGCTTTATACATTATCCAGTTTGGGTTTTGGAACCATCCGTTTGAAGTCCTAGCGTGGTTTCCATCTGCAGCCTTCCGGCCCCGTGTACAGTGATGTGTGGTGTAAGGGACTGGGAGGCCCAGGCTTTGGGGTGCAAATCCTTCTTCTGCCAGAGAAATCTAGGGTCTAGAGAGGCTTTGCTGGCATAAATAGTGCATTCTCCGCCTTGTAGGGTTAGGGTGATGGTGAAAGAGCTAAAAGAGCCTGGCACACAGTTAGTATTTAATAGTTGTTCCTGCTGCTGTTTCTGTACCTGCCATCAACCCCCTGGGATGGAATCCAGCCGCTGCGTTGCCACCCATAGGGCTGACCCGATCCAGTCGGTGGATGCCACAGGTGCTGGGGCTAAGGCACTCAGCCCATGGAACATCTCTCTCTGGGCCCTTGTTCGTTCAGTGCTGGGCCCCTGTGGAGAGACAAGGACGGGAGAGAGTACCCTTTGGAGCCCCCCAGGAACTGGCTTGTGTGGTAATGTTACCGTCCTTGGGTCTAGGGGTGCCTGTCCCTTCTAAAGGCAGGTCTGCAGCTTGGCTGAAGGCAGTTCTAGAACAGTGGGAGATGCTGAGAACAACAAGCAGAGGCTGGGGACTCCTGCCTTTGGAGGATGACTGCTTTCCTTTGGGAATGGCAAATAATCACCTGGGGAGCCTGTGCTTGTTCGGGCAGGTGTCTCTTGGAGCCTGGATTCTGCTCCTTATTGGGTTACCTTATGCAAGTTCCTGAGCTGCAACTCCTCCATCTGTCTGTAAAATGGGAATAATTAATGCCTTGTCTTGGGTATCTGTTGGGGCTCTTGTGAGCCTCACTTTCTGTTTGTGGCAAACTGCTTCTGTCCATAGGAGGGTGATGAAAATGTATGTTGTTTTTGTTGGTTGCCGAGTTTTCTGGTCCTTGCTCCAGTCCTGATCTTTTTCTCCCGTTCCTCTGGCTGATGGCCCTGTGACTTCCCCACCCTCAAATTCTATCCCTCGGTGATTTTTTTTTTTTTTTAAGATGTTATTTATTTATTTGACAGACAGATCACAAGTAGGCAGAGAGGCAGGCAGAGTGGTGGGGGGGGGCGGGGGGTGGGAGAAGCAGGCTCCCCGCTGAGCAGAGAGCCCAATGTGGGGCTCCATCCCAGGACCCTGGGATCATGACCTGAGCCGAAGGCAGAGGCTTAATCCACTGAGCCACCCAGGCGCCCCCATAGCTGATATTTTTATATCACGACTACTACTTAATGCCTGGAAGCACTAGACTGGCCTAGAACAGCTAGGCTGCTCACGGTGTTTATTGGTGAGCATAGCAGGGACTGAGGCTAACACAGGGGAAATTGACCCCAGTCTTGGTGGCAGGTGACGGCTGCGACCCAGGCCACACCTGTAGCTTGTTTGTAAATGTCCCTGGAGACCCTCTCTTGGGCTGAGTGATTCTGTAATCTGCTGGGAATTTGTTTTGGTGCATTTTGACATTCCCACAACCATCTTGGTTTTGTTGTGTTTTCTTAAAACCCCCCTCGGAACCTCCTCCAGGCCCACTGGCTGTGGAACTGAGACATCTTAGCGGGGCCATGTCCCCCTGTCAGTGTTCCCAGCTTCCTGCCTCTTGGCCCTTTTTTTCTATCTGATTTCATTCTGGCCAGGTCTGGCTCTGGACTGTTTTTAGCTGGTTTGTTAGGGAAGGAGATGAATACTCTGTCTTTCCCCGCAAGCTTTGGTTTACCTGTGAACGTTCAGCTTTCAAAGGCCGCATGGAGGGGCTTTATTTCAGCTCGCTGGGGCTTGGGGGGGGTGGGGGGGGATGGGGGGTGGGGAAGAGGCTGCTGCTTACAGTGGCCTGGGTCCTCTCCAGTCTCCTTGGAGCCCAGATGGGTAAAGAGCCTGGGGAAGGGAGAGCCAGAAAACCCTGGGAGAGTGGAATTTCAGGAATGGCAAGTCAGAACTAGTTCCAGCACGGTCTGCTGGCCTGGCCTGGCCTGGCCTGGCCGAGGGATTTTTGTTATGCCTGTTCACCATCCCCCACCCACTTTTAAATTTCAGTTCTCTTTTTTTGCAAAGGATTATTTTATGGTACTTTAAAGCTTTTTTTTTTTTTTAAGCTTGCACAAAGAAGTACTGACTCATGTTGCTAATGGCTGTATGCTGGTTATATGTCTCATTGTTCTACCATTTAAGATTGATCATTTCTATGTTGGTTTCTGTTTCAAACCAGAAGAGGCCAGGTGGGCTAGTGCGGTGTATTTCTCAATTTGATAATGAGGCTTCTCTACCGTCAGGCATTTGTATCTTGTTGTGGTTTGGCAGATATCAGATAGGATCTGTCTACATGGATTTTAAAGCAGTATCCTCCCCTTGAAATATAAAATTTCCAGCAGAGATCTGTTGGGCTTTATGCTCTGAATTTCATATCTTGGTCAGGCCTAACTAGACTGTCTGCTTTTCAAGTCATGACTCAATTTCTTTCTTAAGAAAGTCCCATTTTTTCTGGGTCTTTTATAACCTTAGGAACCTTTGGTCTGTCATTTGGACAAAGAAAGGGATCGCCTGTGGTGCTCAGGGGGAAGAGAGAGAGAGGAGAAAGACGGTGAGATTTCTGATGAAATAAAATTGGTTATGACAAGCTTTTAGGTTTTAAAGGTGCCATTTGGACCAGGCCTCCTCACCTGGGAGCTCCAAACCCCCAGCTCCGCTGTCGGTGGTACAGGTCATTGTTTGTCCCTGTGGCAGGCCTGCGGGGAGCCTCTGCACCCGGAGGGAGGCTGCCTGTGTGACTCGAGCCAGGAGTCTTGGTTGAGCCTTGTCGTTCCCAATACTTGTTGACTGTCATCCGTGGCTGGGTTGCGCCTAGAAGATGCCGGCAGCAACATGGGCTTCCTGCAGAGGGGGGGGCGGGGGTGGGGGCCAGAATGAGGTCGATCTTGATCTTAACTTGCTGGCGGTCTTTCACGGTCTCTCTGAGAGTACTTCCTTCCGCTCCCACCTCCGCAGCTGGTTTTGTAGCTGTGCTCTGTATGCTTTTCTCCTCCTCCGAGAGACCCACTGGCCTTTTCCTCTTGGTGGTGGTGCAAAAGCAGTGATTTATTGATTTTCGAAGTCCTTGTCCTGCAGCAGGTGCCCCTGGAGCATGTGTTCTTTGCAAGGCCTGTTACAAATGTTTTTCCCTATTCGTAAAAGTAACATTTTTACTGGGAAGGAAAATGAAAAATAGTGAAAAGAATAAAGATAAAAATACAAATACAAATCACCTGTAACCTCATCATCCAGAGAGAATCGCTGTAAAGTCTGGTGTATTTCCTTTGAGTGTGTGTTTGTTTTTACAAAATCAGTAAACTACTGTATATACCACTCACAGTTTATAGTTCTTAACATTATAGGTATTTTCCTAATACTGTTATTTTTAAGTAAGCTCTCTGCCCGACATGGGACTTGAACTCATGACCTCTGAGATCAAGGGTCTCATGGTCTACCCCCTACTCCCAGCTGGGAGCCCCCAAAATATATTTTATCAGTTGTGTAATTGCTTTATATGGGTATGCCATGATTTATCGAATCCTCTTTTGTTAGACATTTGAACTGTTGTTACCCATTTCTTGTAAACAGATTTTTAGGGCGCATCCTGGCATGTACATCTTGGGGTGCATTGCTGATTATTTCCCGTGAGGGGCATTTGCAGAACAGGGAGAATGCAGGCTCCTTCTTCAGTCCTTTTCGGCCCTTGTCACTTTTGACTCCAGCCTTGTCTCCAGGGTGGATTCCATCCCGGGCCACAGGCGTGCGTTTCCGTGCGGCCCAGGACAGAGCAGTTCTTGAGTCGGATGCTCAACCAACTGAGCCACCTAAGTGCCCCTTTTCACAACTTTA